CTCAACCATATTTAATATTATTTATAGATTCTATATTAATTTATTTTTATGCAATACAAATTAATCTTTATTTATAATGTCAATTTTCATATGATTCTTCTTTTATCATATTTATATTAAAAATAATTTTTGAAAAATATTTCAACAAAAAGAAAGTCATTTATTAATTGAAATTTAATTAAAATTTTTCTTTGTTGTTCAAGAAAAAAAAAACAATAGATTATCCAACATGAATCAAATATCTATTACTTAATGGAACATATAAAATAATATCTGGTTGTACATTATAGAAAACTATTTGATTAATTTTCGAATATCTTTATCAATGACATTATTTTATCATAGCAAATAAACAACAAAAATCAATTATTAGAATTATATTGAAATTTATTTAAACCAAATAATCAATCGTTTTCTTATATCATTTTATGATCTTGACTATCTTTTTTATTTAAAAGACAACTTATATATATATAGATAAGATTTTTATCGATAGGATTTACATCAAATAGTTAAATTACTATGGCGTTTACTAATATTTTATTTCTCTATTCAAATATGAATATAATTTGGAGAATAACATTGTCAATATATAAATAAATTATAGAATAGTTTAAACAATTATTCTTTATTATTATTTTCTATTGATTTATTAGAACATTTAGATAAACTAATTGATTATGTTGAACATATATCATTTATTGTTATTGATGATTAATTAACAGGACAATTTTAATACATATGGATTTCATTTATTCAGTTTCAATTAATCTATTAAATCAATTTCATCATGAAAATGAATAAACAATAAATAATTTAACAAAACAATTGCAAAACAATAATAGAAACAAAATGAAAAAATAAATTAAATTTTATCTTGTGTTTTCTTCTGAAAATAGACTATAGATTCGTCGTATAACACTATTTATATTAAATGTCCTTCGATTGTTTTTTGATTATCGATTTTCAAATAAATCTATTCGATTTTTATTAAAATATATTGCTGATTAATATATACAAACATGTTCAATATTAAAAACATAGGTGCAGAATCTTCCGCTACAACGAAAAATTTTCTCAACTATAAAACTCAATTAAAGATCTTTTTTGAAAATTCTAATATTTTTCTTTGAAAAGAGAAAGTAAGGAGCATCCACACCCGAAATAGCGAATTTTATTTTCTATGCAAATTTCGACTTTCCTATTTTAAATAAGTTTTTCATATTACAGCAAAGTCAGCAACATGAACATCTATTCAAGCTGATCAATGCGAAGTATCAAAAAAGCACAAAAAAACTTATAGAAAACTTTTAGGAACTAATCTATTGAATTCTAAAAAAGGTTACAATATTTAACACAAAGTTTTGCATCTTTCGCTGTGACTTTGAAACTTCTACAAAAGAATAATTGAGAGAAAAAATTCCGAAATAGAAAATGCTGAAGCATCGAAAGAAAAAGTCGCCTATTAACAAATCTGAGTTGTTGTTTTTTCCTGATTTAAAATAGTCTAAAAGATTCAACTGTTCAAGTGAATACTTGCACCATTTTATTCAGAATTTAATTGAGCATTCGATGGCACAACAATCAACTGTGTATACGACGAGTTGGACTTTTGATAAGAGAATTTTTCATAATGCATTCATCAATATTCTTAGATGTTACTTTTCAACTTTATTCTTCTCAAATTAAACACTTCGAAAGATGATAAACTTAAGACTACCACATACAACAAATAATTCTTTAACTTTTACCATTTGTTTTAATGAGCACACGCTGTGACACATATTGATTTTTATCTGTAGTGAAATAGAAATTCATAGTTTGACAATTGAATAGGCTTTAATCTTATGAAGTTGACACTTGTATGAATACTTTTTTTGAAAAAATAGTCAGTAGATTTGTAGAAAATTAAATTCTCTATCCAACGAGATTAGAACTAAAGTTTGAACAAGTATTTAATGTCTCAAAGACAGAAAATAAAAGTGGAACATAGATTATGGAACACCGATTATTTTTCAAGAAATTTTTTCGAATGCTAATATATTTTCAATAATTATTCTGAAAGTCCGTTCGCCCAAGCGGCTAGATTCGGCATCTCGGATTAGAAACAAGTTCAAATAATCTATTTAATTAAATATATTGAAAATTGAGTATACGTGATTTATTATTCAGTTGAAAAATTTTATATGATTCTATATTAACATAAATTTAAAGTAATGATTGATTACTATTATCAGTTAATCTTATTTCATATATGTTTTAATAATTAACTACTAGAACTTATCTTCCTATTAATATTGAATATTTAGCACAATTGATTTTGACCAAGTCTTACCTATGAGAAATATTTTCTCTCAATCAGAATAGTAAAGTATGCACATTTTCTTCGCTATCTGTCACCTTTACTTACTTGAAAAGAATTGTTTAATTTCGATTTTATTCGATCGTTTATTTTCTCGTCATGATCTTTATTTAACATCATCATCATTACAAATTCTAATTGAACTCGAAGTTTTTTCGTTTAAAACAAATTCAAATAATTAATGAGTACCTTGATTTATATATATTTCTAGTTTATTACGATCGTTAGAATAATTAGACAAATACATATTATTTATCTGATGAATATTTTCTTAGATGGTTTTAAATATATCATTCATAAGTTATGGTTACACGAAATAAATTATATGATATTGAAAATAATACATTAAACTGTAATTTTGATTTAGATTTTCAAATTTAAATGATTTTATTTTATATAAATTTATATCAGTTTTTTTATTATCAATATTTAAAGATAATATATCTTAGATATAAGTGATAATTTCAGACAAAAAAATTCTATGAATTTATCATGAAAAACTTTTAATACTTTGTGAATATTCTAAAAAAAGATAGAATGCTATTTATATTAATGTTCAACAAAAATGAAACATCAGTTATCAATTGGTCAATACAAAATTATTTTCTTTTAATATTTGGAAGTATTTATATATAATTATAGCGAGCAAATAAAAATATAAATCGATTGATTAAAGAAACATATTCATGTAGAAATACAAAAATCAGTAGCATAACGAAAATTGTTACACTAAGAGAACTTAGGTGAATGCTATCAATTTAGTAAAGAGACTTGTGGCACAATTTATTTCACATCATTTCGATTTGATTTAAATATCAAAATCTTTAGTCAAAGTTACATAATAGATTGGAAATTTTCACTTTTCAACTATTGAAACAAAATTATTTGAAACTTTTCTAGCAGAATCTGAAAACTCGCAAAAGAATATTTCCTCACAAAGATTTAATAGTTTCACTTCCATTTCTATTTTTATTTATTTTTAAATCATCATCATCTTATTCGAAACGAACAATATATAGAAAAAACTTTGTCACACTCGAAAAGATATCAAATAGAATACTTCAACCAATAGGTTATATTACTTCAAAAAAAGAAGAAAAAAAAAACTTTCAAGTTGAATTAAGAATACTATATATATATTTAGTAGGAAACTGTAAGAAATTTTTCTTCAGTCTTTAAAAATTTCTAACTAAATAAAATTGTGTAATTGAGATGGAAATGTCTATGAGAAAAATGAAATTACCATTTCTAGACGAACTATGATAGATTGAAATCTATCGAAAAATTAGATATATCTTTGTTTTTCTTTTATTTATTGTCTAGATTTTATCTTTAAGTGAATATAGTAATTCATATTTATTTTTTGCATGTGAAAATTGACATGATAAATTAATCGAAACAATAGTTCTTATTTTAACACTATTATCGTTATCAAATTCAATTAATCAATATTCATTTGTAGGCATTGATTCAAAAGACAGTTTAATATTAAATTAGAAAATAAATCCACTCGTTTGTTGATAATCAATATTTTGTTTGTTTCGTTTTTTTTTAACATATTCAATTACGTTTATTAGGTGAATTACATTCTACAGTTCGATCATGTCTCAATGATAATAATATATGTTTCATTAAATGTTTTACGAACATAATTATCTTTTTCTTTTTCTTTTCAATTAATTTCAAGTCACATACCTCATATATGTTCTTATGTTTTCATTTAAGCAGACAAAGTAAATTTAGGATTCTAAGAACTTTTATTTGTATACCCAAAAATTTTCTTTAGCTAAACGTATAGGTGATATTCATCTTTGAATATAAACTTTTCTCAAACGAGAACAATGAAAAAGAAATATTATATTTTTTAAAAGAAATAATTCAATAGAAGAGAAAAAGTATCTATTCTTTCTTTTTGTTTTAATAGTTTTATTCCGATTTAATTATGATTTGATCGTTCTATTGACATTATATGATACTACACATGTTCGTTAAGCAGTTACTTTGACTTTGATTAACTATAAATATTATAGAGATGTTAACTATTGTTTGTTTCTTTTATTCAAATGATTTGATTTCTAAATTACATTGGATTGAGCAAAAGAAATTCTAACATGAAACTCTAATGAATAGACTATTCGTTGTTTCTCAGATATAAACATTAAAATAATCTTTACTTTTTTCACTACAAAATTTTCAAAATCCCTTTTTGTAATAAATATGAAAAGAAAATAGAAGAAAATCTGACACATTCATAATGAACTATTTCTATAGAGAGAAATTCATTTTAGTAATATTGGAATATGTGAGTTGATTTTATTCTTATGAATTATTTATTAACTTTTTTTTTTTTCATCTTAAGATTTCTTCAGCACAATTCTTTTATTCGAATGTCATTAGTCAGTAGTTTATTCAAATGCGAGAAATTAATTCTTTTTATCAATTCCTATAGAAAATATATCATTCATTATAAGAATGAAATACTTCGCTTTGAGATGAACAAAACTTCAAGAATTTTATTCTCATCATCGATATAGTGATATTCGTTTACTTACACATTTATTTTTTGTTAACATATATTTGTATTGATTAATCTTAGTGATTGACAGCTATTATTGGATACAATTAATTTCAGCTTTTCCACTAAAGAGAACTAAAAATGATGTTTATTGTGTTTTTTTTTGAGGTTTTTCTTCTCAGTTGAATTTTTATGAAATACGACAGTCGATATCAATAATATTCAATCAGCAGCCAAAATTTATCATATCTATGAGAATGATTTTTTTATTCTATAGAGTTAACGTTTTAAAGTAGCACGAATCATTCAAATTACTCGACAATTCAACTATTTTATTATTTTTCTAGAACTATATCAAGAAACGAAAATATTGACAATTATTTTTAGTTTACATCGAGTAATCATTAATCAACATAACATCGAAAACAAACAAATATAGAAAAAAAAATTAATCCTAAAAAAAAAGGCACTTTAGAAAAATAATCCATTAGTGTCGAAATTTGTTTGAATTAATACATTGATCATATAACATACATAAAAGTTAAGTCAATTCATTTAAAATGATCGTTTTGAACAATTACTTTCAACAATATTAATCTATAACAATCAATGTATACGAGAGATTACTGTTTTTGTTTTTCTAAAGTCACCATTTATTGTGAAGAAAATTTCAATTATTAATTTTTTTTCTATTTATCGTTTGAACTAAAGTTTTAAGAATGTTTTATTAGATGTGAGAGGTGTTTACGGTGAAAAAATTTCGATAGAAATCTTCGAAATAAGATTTCTTCCAAGATCTAACCATAAGAGAAGGAAAATTTTCAACATAAAATATGTCATA